GTGCTGCACCCAGGCCCTGCCACTGGCGGGGGAGCCCAGTGAACTTCTGCTCCTCTTGGTCATAACCCGTGTGGACCCGGTGCTCGAAGTTGGACGGGGCCGAGATCTCCAGGCGCTTCTTCTTCTTGCTGAACATGGTGGTGGCTCCAAGACCTTCTAGAGAGGGGGCAAAGAGGGACATAAATCAAGAGGGGACAACCCCTGGAAGCAACGGTGGCCTTTCGTAGGAGGTTTCTTTGGGGATGGGGACACCTCCTCAGCACCAGGTCAGTTTGGAGGCCACCAAGGTCTTGGTGGGGTTGGTGACCAAGCCAAAGATGCTCCCACCACCCCTCCAAGTCATCCATTGTGGGTTGGGAGGTGGGTTTTCAGGTCCTTCCTGATTGGTGGGGAGGATGGGAGAAGGTCCCAAGGGAGAAAGGAGGGTCCACAAGAGAAGGGAGGACCCAGGGGAGAAGGTCCCACAAGACAAGGACCCAGGGGAGAAGGTCCCCCAGGACCAGGACCCCCAGGACCAAGACCCCCAGGACCAGGACCCAGGGGACCAGGACCCAGGGGAGAAGGTCCCACATGAGAAGGTCCCACATGAGAAGGTCCCACATGAGAAGGTCCCACATGAGAAGGTCCCCCAGGACAAGGACCCACATGAGAAGGTCCCACAAGACAAGGACCCACATGAGAAGGTCCCACAGGACAAGGACCCACATGAGAAGGTCCCACAGGACAAGGACCCACATGAGAAGGTCCCACAAGACCAGGACCCACAAGCTTCATCTCCTCAACCCCCTGTCCCCTGTTGCCCCCACTCAGGTGGCACCTTCCTCTCCAGCTCTTGGTCTCCCTCCCCCCTCCATGAGTCCCCGTTGGGCCCCACGTTGGGCCCCATCTCATCTCTGGGGCTCTGAAGGGCAGGAGGACACAAACCCAAGTCTTGCCTTGGTCCCTCAGGGTCTGATGGCCATGGAATCATGGAAGGGCTTGGGTTGAAGGGACCTTCCAGACCAGCCAGGCCAAGCCCTGCCATGGGCAGGGTCACCTCCCAGTGGCCCAGGTTCCAGCTGCAGTCCCTGTGGAAGGACTTTCTTTTTCCACCTGGGTGGCTGCTGGGATAAAGCTGAGCTGCAGCAAACAGCCCCTCTCCCAGATTGCTGGTTTCCAGCCCACTCCAGGGAGCTTCACATTTATTAAATGTTCCTAAATTACAGCCATCAGCCTCCCAGCAGCTGGTCACCACCAGCCCTTCAGATTGTCTCATTAGGGCTTCATGGACACAAGGAAGGTTGGCTGGAGCAAAGCATCACCAGTGACACCAGCAGGGCACCAGCTGCTGGGAAGGGCTCTGCAGAGCATCACTGGGAAGGGAAGGCAGTGGCTCTCCTGCTGGAGGTGGCACAGAACTGCCAGGAGCCCCCCCAGCAGCTGCTGGGACCCTGCAAGTGTTGGAATATCAATGTGAAGCTCAGCCCTGCAGGTGTCCTGGCCATGCTTCCTTCCCCAGCAGCAGGGCAGGCCTGGCTGGCTGTGCCCAGAGCTGCTGGGCTGCATCAGGGTGGGAAGAGGAGGACAAGGTGTTACCACTGGGATGGGAGGACAAACCCTTTCAATGTATGCATGTGCCACTCTGCCTCCCTGGGGTTCATCACACTTGGTATCACCAGATTAAACCCGAGAAGTAGAAACATCTCATTAATTAATTTGGATTAGCAATAAGTGACATTTAGTCATTAGAGGGCATTAAAATAATGTATTTGGGGCCTTTCATCTCAAATAACTTAATGGAGATTTATTAGCTGCTCTCCAGGGCGTTTTACAGCTGGGAAACAGTCACCAAGTGCCTGCAGGACTTGCCAGGAGCAGAGCTCAGGAGTTTGTCTTCCAGATGAACTAAGTTTCCAAGTGTAATGAGTCATATACTAGCACCAGTTGGGAACACAGCACATACTGGAGCTGCAGGAGCTGGATCCAGACTTTGTGGTTTCTCATATGTTTTAGGACGTTCTTCCTCCTGCACTGGTGCCTACAGACAGGATGGTCCTCGTTCCCACTGTGTGGGACACAGAGACTTTCTGTACAGTGTGAAGGAGCTCCTGGAGCTGCCTGCAGCCCCCCCATGCCGAGCCCCAGCCCCACCACTTCCACCTCTTCCATGACCACTTCCAGCCCCACCATGTCCAAGTCCAGCTCCAACCCCACTACATCCAGCTCTTCCACAACCACCTCCAGCCCCACCATGTCCAGGTGTCCAGCCCCACTACATCCAGTTCCAGCCCCATCACAACCACCTCTTCCATGACCACAACCACCTCCAGCCCCACCATGTCCAGGTGTCCAGCCCCCCCATGACCACCTCCAGGTGTCCAACCAACCCCCTCCACTTCTTCCATGACCACTTGCAGCCCCACCATGTCCAAGTCCAGCTCCAGCCCCACTACATCCAGCTCTTCCACAACCACCTCCAGCCCCACCATGTCCAGGTGTCCAGCCCCCCCATGACCACCTCCAGGTGTCCAACCAACCCCCTCCACTTCTTCCATGACCACTTGCAGCCCCACCATGTCCAAGTCCAGCTCCAGCCCCACTACATCCAGCTCTTCCACAACCACCTCCAGCCCCACCATGTCCAGGTGTCCAGCCCCCCCATGACCACCTCCAGGTGTCCAACCAACCCCCTCCACTTCTTCCATGACCACTTGCAGCCCCACCATGTCCAAGTCCAGCTCCAGCCCCACTACATCCAGCTCTTCCACAACCACCTCCAGCCCCACCATGTCCAGGTGTCCAGCCCCCCCATGACCACCTCCAGGTGTCCAACCAACCCCCTCCACTTCTTCCATGACCACTTGCAGCCCCACCATGTCCAAGTCCAGCTCCAGCCCCACTACATCCAGCTCTTCCACAACCACCTCCAGCCCCACCATGTCCAGGTGTCCAGCCCCCCCATGACCACCTCCAGGTGTCCAACCAACCACCTCCACTTCTTCCATGACCACTTCCAGCCCCACCATGTCCAAGTCCAGCTCCAGCCCCACCACCTCCAGCTCTTCCATCACCACCTCCAGCTCCACCATGTCCAGGTGTCTAACCCCACCACCTCCAGTTCCAGCCCCACCACCTCCACCTCTTCCACAACCACCTCCAGGTCCTGGGGACACCTCCAACCCCCATCCCAGCAAAGAGGACAATCCTGACTCTGGAGACCTTCCCAACCCCACTTGGGACCTGGATCTGCTGGAGATGACCCTGCTCTCCTGCCCATCCCCACCACTCTGTGGCTGCAGGACCTTAGAGGCCAAACCCAAGGGGAAGTGGTTGGGATGGGTTGTCCTCTCCTGACAGGCTTGGGGAGTGGAACTGGGTGGAACTGGTTGGAACTGGGTGGAACTGGCTGGGCTGGCTCTGCACCCTCCTGCACTGGGAGTGGCACTTTCAAAGCAGAGGAGAAGTCTCACCCTCCAGGCTACTCCAGGAGGACCAACCCAGGGACCTTCTGGATCCTGGGATGGATCAAACCAGGTTCAACCAACCCAGAAACCAAAGGAGTAGAAGAATAATCCTGGGAATTCCAAACATCTCCAGGACTTGGGAAGTCCTGTGAGGGACCCTCCTGGTTCTAAAGGACCTCCCTTGGTTCCAGAGACCCTCCCTTGGTTCCAGAAGACCCATCAAAAGGGCTTCAAAGTTCCCTTCATCCTCTTGTTCCCACAGCAAAACTTCTGGTCTCCAACCCACCCAAGATCCAACCTTATGGGGAAGAACAAGGGGGGGGGGAAATGGGGCCCAACGTGGGGTTTGGACCATGGGTGGGGGGACCCTGAGGAGATTCTGGTTGGGCAAGACCTTCAGGGTGACACAATCCAACCATAACCCAACTCTACCAACACTTCACCCAACTCCACCACCTCTTAACTCATTTCTACCAGGCTTTAACCAACTCTTAACCCAACCCCACCCACTCTGGTACCAACTCAGGTCCCTCAGCACCATCTCCAGGGCTTGGAAGACCCTCCAAGGCTGGTGACTCCACCACTCCCCCTTGGACAACCTGTTCATGACCCTTTCCATGAAGAACTTTCTCCTCCTCTCTAATCTAAACCTCCCCTGGGGGCAACTTGAGGCCTTTTCCTCTTGTTCCTTGGGAGAAGAGACCAACCCCCTCCAGCTCCAACTTCCTCCCAGACCTTCTCAAGTCTCCCCTCAACCTCCTCCAGGCTGAACAACCTCCAGCTGCTCCTCAGAAGTTCTCCAGATCCTTCCCCAGCCACTTCCCAGCCCCTCAATATCCCTTTTCTGACCCAAAACTGCCCTCAGAACTCAAGGTGTGACCCCCACCAGGGTCCAACCCACAGGGACAAACCCCCTCCTGGATTGTCCTGCTCCCTCCACCACCTGAAGTTCAGCAGCTCCAGGAGAAACCAATGTGGTTCCTGCCCCAAAAATGGTGCCTCAGAACTTCCAGGATCCCAAGGATCTTGAACGTGCCAGGACTTGGGTGGAGAATGAAAGGACCAACCTCCTTGAAGACCCCAAAATCCAACCTGGAGGCCCCAAAATCCAACCTGGAGGCCCCAAAATCCAACCTGGAGGCCCCAAAATCCAACCTGGAGGCCCCAAAATTAGGACACCAAATCTAGGAACAATCATGGAGTAAAATTCAACCTAAAGGCTCCAAAATCCAGCCCAAAAGGCTCCAAAATCCAGCCTGAAAAGGCCCAAAAATGAGGACACCAAATCTAACAACAATCCTGGAGTAAAATTCAACCTGAAGAACCAAAACCCACAAGCCAGAAGGCTCCAAAAGGCCCCAAAAGGCCCCAAAATCAAGGACATCCCACCTAGGAACAATCATGGAGTAAAATCAAACCTAAAGACCTCAAAACCCAACCCAAAAAGACCCCAAAAGGCCCCAAAAAGCAGCCCCAAAAGGCCCTAAAAACCAGCCCCAAAAACCACCCCAAAATGAGGACACCCCATCTAGGAACAATCATGGACTGAAATTCAACCTGAGGGCCCCAAATTCCAGCCTGAAAGGCCCTGAAGTTCAACCCCAAAAGGCCCCAAAATCCAGCCTGAAAGACCCCAAAACCTAACACCAAAAAGTCCCCAAAGGCCCCAAAACCCACCCCAAAAAAGCCCCAAAACCCATCCCAAAAAGGCCCCAGACACCCCAAAACTCAACCCAAAAAGGCCCCAAAAGGCCCCAAAACCCAACCCAAAGAGGCTCCAAAAAGTCCCTAAAGGCCACAAAACCCACCCAAAAAGGCCCCAAAACCCACCCCAAAATCCAACCCAAAAAGGCCCCAAAACCCACCCTGAAATCCAACCCAAAAAGGCCCCAAAGTCCAACCCAAGAAGGCCCCAAGAGGCCCCAAAATCCAAATTAAAGAGGCCCCAAAAAGACCCCAAAATCCACTCCAAAAAGACCCCAAAACACACCCCAAAAAGGCCCAAAAATTAGCCCCAAAACACACCCCAAAAAGGCCCCAAAATCCAACCCAAAAAGGCCCAAAAAGGCCCCAAAACCCAACACAAAAAGACCCCAAAAAGGCCCCAAAACCCACCCCAAAAAGGCCCCAAAAGTCCCCTGAATCCAACCCAAAAACCCCCCAAAAAGACCCCAAAAGGCCCCTAAACCCACCCCAAAAAGGCCCCAAAACCCACCCCAAAAGGGCCCCAAAACACACCCCAAAAAGGCCCCAAAACACACCCCCAAAAGGCCCCAAAACACACCCCAAAAAGGCCCCAAAACCCACCCCAAAAAGGCCCCTAAACCCACCCCAAAAAGGCCCCTAAACCCACCCCAAAAAGGCCCCTAAACCCACCCCAAAAAGGCCCCAAAAACCACCCCAAAAAGGCCCCAAAGTCCAACCCAAAAAGGCCCCAAGAGGCCCCAAAATCCAATCCAAAGAGGCCCCAAAAAGACCCCAGAATCCACCCCAAAACAACCCCAAAACACACCCGAAAACCCACCCCAAAATCCCACCCAAAAAGGCCCCAAAATCCAACCCAAAGAGGCCCCA